GGCAAGGCCAGTGGCAGCAGAGACGACACAGACTGGATGGAGGCACAGCCTGGCTCTGCTCTTTCCTAAGCATTAGTGGGAACTGCATTCGTGCTAGGCAAGGACTCTACCAGTGAGCTGTGTCCCCAGCTTAGCTTTGAAATCTTTACCTTTGACACACAGGTCTTGTCGAGAGTGGCCCAGACTCACCTTAAGCTTGCTTTGCAGTCCAGGCTTTGAACTTTGCACCCTCCAACCTCATCCCCACGAATAAGCTGGGAATTAGAGGCCTTAACAACCAGGCGCCTTTGACCTACTTGATCCTCCAACCCAAGCTAGAGTTATATAGGCTTGAGTCACCGGGCCCATCTGGATGCTCACATTCCAATCTGCCCTACCGCTGTGGGTATCTTCTCCTTGTGAGTTTCTGTAGACACATCTGGCTGGGTATAAATATCATCCTTGCTGGGGGCATAGCTCTGTGGTTACTGTCCAGTTGGAGTCTCCAGAGCCCTGGTGCATGGTCGGGGAAAGCCTGCTCTCATCCTTCTCTGTCTCCAAGCCACGCTCAGAGTCTCTGAACAGAGGAAAGGCACAAAAGCCCAGTTCCACATTCTTGGTGGCTATGGCAGCTTCCTCCCCTGATGCCACTCAAGGACCCACCTCAGCGCTAGGCTTTTGACCATACTAGGGGGAAACCCAGCTTGTAGTGGACACATCATCACCCCTTGCCTACAGTCTATAAAGCCTTCCTGCCTTATGTGACCTTCCTGGTCTCATTCTCTGAGACCGGTTAACCGCCCTTTGGGATTGCTTTGTTCAATATACCTGTTGTGACATTTTTTTCAAATTCGGCTTGATCTGGCTTACTGCATTTGGTGTAGACACCCATTTTCTCGGGGCAGGAAACCTATTAGTCACTTCTGACTAGCCGAGGGGAAACTAAATCTTTGCCACAGAATGAGCTGACATGTCACCACTTAGGTCAAATAGCCAAACTTACCACCAGGAGACAAAAGTGACATTAAATGCTTCCTGTTGCGCCCCAGCCCCCACGAGGTCTCTGTGACTTGCTCGTCAGCCAACAACCACAGGTGCATCCTGTTTTCTAGTCCTGGCTTACAGCCCCGGCTTTGCCCCACTGGCATCGACCTCTAATTATGAAAACACGGATTCTTACACCTGGGGCTTCTCCACTGTGCTGTAAGTTTGTATATAAGGCTGCTCCCTCCTACACACACACACACACACACACACACACACACACACACACACACACACACACACACACACCCCTACACACCCCTACACACCTCCAGGCTTTCACCCAGTAATTAGATTTCCTCGTGGTACAGGTACCACAGCTTCCCAATGTCAAGCAATTCGAATGCCACAGGCAGTCCTCAAGCCTCAAGCAGCTTGCAACTTAAAGAGAATACAGAATGAATACACAACATGGGCATGTTTCAGGACAAGTGGCTTGGCCTCGTAAAGGAAAACAGAAAGGGGCTGAAGAGCCGGCTCGGCACTTGAGAGCGATCCCTGCTCTTACAGAGGACCTGGGCTCGGATCCCAGCACACACGGCCAGTGGCTTGCACTCATCTCTAACTCCAGTTCCAGGAAATCTGATATGCTCTTTTGGCCTCGATATGCACAGAAACACACGGATATACATGTAATATTAAAAAAATAGTATTGTTGAGAGGAGATTGAATATATATTGTAGATGGAAAATGAGCCACGCCAAGGATACCAGAAAAGGGGGGGGGCCGCACGATATTTGAGAGAAGTCACTTACATGAGAACCTGGGTCAGCGCTCTCTGACTTCTGACCACAATCGCAGCCCCAAGAGAACCAGCGCCTCCTCTCCCCAAGTTCATATCTTCCATCACTACTAAGTACCTGTGACCACGCCCACTTGGGTGTGCTCAGTGCTACAGGTGCCTAAGATCTCTCCCTACGTTTTAAAGAAAGAAGTTAAAACCAACCTAAGATAGGAAAACATTCCTAGAATCCTGGGTTGTAAACAGATTACATGTACAAGGCTGGAGAAATACACATACTGTAACTGGATGTTAAATGATAGAGAATACATGTTCAGACAAGTGTGAGGAGGGGCCTCACGAGACAACGTGTTATCTAAATATGTAGAGCTAAATATGTACAAATGAGTTCTGAGACAAGTTATCAAGCCCTTAGGAACTGTTCTTACCCCAAAGCGCCAACGCTTAGCCTGGGCTCAAAAAGACAAAAGTCTGGTGGCTTTGTTTCAAAAAGACAGTAGTCTGATTGCTTTGTTTGTCCCTGTTTCCTTACCTGTGGGCCTAACTCCTGGACTAACCCAGAGGGCAGAGCTCGCCACTAGCTGAACACAGACATCCAGAGGTTTGTACAGACAGACGGGAGTCTACGGCTGGGTGGAGGAGGAAGTGATAAGTCAGGAGGAGACAGGAGCTCAGTCCCCCTTTTGGCCAGGAAGTTAGGGGGGTAGAGGTGGCTGTGGCTTGCTCCTTCGTCTCTCTGATCATTCAACATTTCCCCCATAGCTGGTTCTAGGTTTTTATTAGTCAGACCTATTAGAACTCATGCTACACCAACCCATGGCATTGCTGGGTTGGCGTATGTGCAGACTGAAGTGAGCACACTGCATCAGAGACATGGGCATGCTTTCTAAAACACGTCTGGGAGCAGATTCAGGTCGCCACAAAGTCCATGGGCCAGTAAAGGCACAATTTTAAGACGTTTAATGGCACCAGAACAAAGCAAGTCATACATACGTCAGCATACTTTTGGAATACATCTGTGGAAACACTACAGAAAAAAGGGAGGTCTCCACTATAGGGTTGAGATGCTGTCTCACAAAATTCTTAGCCACCTGTCTGGTGGGAGGTAGGTCTATGTCTGTATTCACAAAACTGTTAGATCACACATCCAGGAGGGCAATGAATCGCTTGCTACTAAGGGGGCTACAAATGCAAAGACAGTGTTGACTGTGGATCTGGGACACTACAATCTCTCCACACTCAGAGGTCTAAAGAGTTGATCATATAACTTGCAACACTGCAATCTCTCCACACTTAGAGGTGTAAACTTTCAATGAGATGACCTGGCACACTCTGTCTTTCCACACTCACATGTCTAGACAGTTAAATAGATGACCTGGAACACTCCAGTCTCTCCATAGACCTCGAAAGAGTTAATCAGACAGCCTGGAACACTCCAATCTCACCACACTCAGAGATCTAAACAGCTAATCAGAGGACCTAGAAGGCGCTGATCTGGATTAAACAGTTGATCAATCAGACTTGTAGACCACTCAGTCAAAAGACTGTATTATTATTATTATTATTATCATTTATCTTAACTGTTCTGACCATTTATCTCACAATGGAATGCACACCACCATGTCCAGGCTTTGGTGTGTGTGATAAATGTAGGGGAAAGGGGCCAGCCAAAGAAACACACCCTGAACAGAGCCAAAGAAACACACTTTGGCCCTGAAACCAGAGCCAAATCTGACCCTAATCCATGCAGAAAACTAACCAGCCCCTGAGCAGGAGTTGTAGCCATCCTAAACTCAGGATTGAAATCTGACCAATCCCCACCCTGGAAAATTCGATCCCTTAAGAATTCCTATAAAAACCCTGTGTCTGTTCAGCTTGTGGCTGTTCCAGCTGCACATCTGCCCTCTGCCACCTTGGCAGAGGGCAGCCACTCTCCTGGATTCTTCTCTCCCAATAAATCTCTTGAGTGAGGTTTAGGTGAGACCTTCTTTAGTGGGAGCAGAGTTCGCCAGAGCCGAGACCACCCAGAGAGGAGTGGAGCAGGGCAGTAACACTTTTCGCCTAGGGAAACTTTCCCCTGGCTAAGAATGTAACAACTTTGCCTGGGAAACCCTCTCCTGCCCGAGCAGAGCTGATACACTTGGGGAAGCCTCTCCCTGAAGCAGCTATGCTTACTGTGACCTGTCTCATGAGTGCCAGGATACCTTTCCATATGAGCTGTGTAACACTCAGTATTCTTTGGCTCCCGAGTGCCAAAATCCATCCCTGTCCATCTCACTGGATCCGTCGAAATGCTTACAATAATGGTAACAGCAAGGCAGAGAGAAACAGAATTTCTCATCGTTCATTAGTGGCTCCAAAATAAGTTCCCGTCTCCACTTTATTTGAAGCAGAAAGCAAGAGGACTCTGACAGCACATTTTCCTTAATCTTTGGCACAACACTTAGGAAGTTTTATAATCCCTCACCCTCATAACGCCCCCGCCACCATCTCAAGCCCTAGGTCTAACCGGAAGACTTTGAGCTGAACTGGTAAACAGAATGTTTACTCCCAATGATCAGGGGCAGGGGAGCTTTTAGATAGATGGGCTCAGCTTACGTCTCTAAGGATGCTTTCCACCCCCCGTGTATGGACAATCAGTAACCTTGAACATGTTCAGAAAAGTAGAAGTCGCTGAAGCTGTTTTGTTTTGGTTTGTTTAGGAGTGAGGTCTTGCTGCTTGGCTCCGGGCACGGTCATCTTCCTTTCTCGGTCTCCTGGCGCTGGGCTTAACGTCGGCTGCGCAAGCGATTAAATTCCTATTTAAAATTTCGTAGGCGCGGGCATCCTCTCGCTCCAGCCCGGCGTTTATTGAAGCCACCAAGCACAAGGGTTTGGTCGGATCTGACTCTCTGAGTACAAAGGTCACGGCTGACCGCAGTAAAATGCTCGCCTGCGCCCTCTGGCCTGGATTGGGGGCCAGCCATCGGAGGGGGGCCTCCCCGGAGGACGCGACCTCGGGGAGCTCGGGTGATCCAGACAGCCCTTTCCCCGGACAAGGTCGCGTGCAGAGCGCAGGCGCGCGAGAACCTGGGCCCCTCCCTCTTCTGCCGCTGGCCCTGACCCCAGAATCTCCCTAAACCCCTGAACCTGGTGCCATGACCACGCCCCCGAGGCCTCCTGCCAGGGCAGGCCACGCCCCTTCAGAAACCAAGATCCAGTGGTTCTGATGAGTGGCCCTTGTGCCACGCCCCCAAGGCCCCGCCCCGGGCTCCACGCCCCGCCCCCCGACGGGGGGGCCCTGGGCCAGCCGAGCTCACTACTTGGCGGTGGTGGGAGCCGGGCGAGCGAAGAAGAGTCATCATGGCAGCGGCGTTCCGCAGAGGCTGCGGGGTGAGCCGGGGGCGAGCGGGAGCGGGAGGGTCGGTCCTGCGCGGCCAGAGGGAGGGAGGGCGGGCGGGCTGGGGGCCTGCGGGTACTCCTTTCCCTTATCCACCCTTCCGGAAGTCGGGGGAGGGGGAAGCGGGTGTCCTGACCCTGCTCTGCCAGGGGGGGAGTACTTCCAGAAAACTCTCGCTGCGGTGCAGGGGAGTACTTCCAGAAAACTCTGGCTGCTGTCCCACCCTGGAAGGCATCAAAAGGTGTGTCGTTCTGCAGCTTTCGGGTGCGCACAGGTGTTAGGACCCGACGCCTGATTGATCCCGGGCGTGCACGGCTCAGAACTGATCCTGGCTGAAGGGAAGGGAAGCGGCGGCCGCTCCCGGGATAGGTTTGGAACGCCTCGGGTTTTGTAATGTGCCGGGCACGCTTCCAGATAACACAAAACCTTCCTGAAACCCGTCTGTACACTCCAGCACTTCGTCCTCCGAAGTCTGTTTTAGTCACTGGATACTTTGACATCTTAAACATCGTCGATGTATTCAGTTCGTGCAAGACTTCCGTGTCTGCCACTTAAAACTGGGATTAAAATAGCCTCTGGCCCCAAAAGATGCAGTTTTAGAATTTACAATGATTTTATTGTACTATTGATTGACCTCCCCTCCCTCCCCCACCATTACCATATAAGTCAACAGGCTCTGGAAACAGACATTGCTGGGGGATATTTGATTAGTTTTGAGTCTGACAAACAGGAAAGTGCAACCCCACAGCTAATCAGAAAATGCTTCACATTTATCTGCTTTCCTACACCGCTGTAAACCCAGACTTTAATGTCTAATAAATTCATTATTTACTTGTGCTGTTTGTGGCAGATTTGAGAACTAAAAAGTTACTGGTTGTTCCCACTTATGGAAGTGCTGCTTTTGGCAGAGAGCCAGAAATAATTTAAACACAATATTATGACTAGAATTTCAGAACACCTTATTTGTCGCTTGTTTATATCCGGGCTGGTCCAGACCTCACAGCTTCTCCTCTTCCTTCCAAGCACCACTACCTACCTTCACTCCTGGCTGTCCCATTTTAATCAGATGCAAAGGACCTCTTGGACCCCTTTAAAAGACAGAGCTCTGCCCACTTAGGTTCTCCTGCTCCTCTCTTTACAGATCTCTCCTTCCCGCTGTTCCCCTGGGGCAGACAGGACTTTTCCTGTCCCCCTCTCCTCTTCTGTCCTTTCTCTGTCTCTGTGTCTCTTTACCTCTTTTCTCTTTCCTTCTCCCCCCCCCCCACCCCCTTCTAATAAAACTTCTCAGTAAGCTCTGTCTGCCTGACATGTTTGTCCCTCCGCCTGCCGTGGAATCTACAAGGTTCCCCATGCAAGGCCCCCCTCAAGCTTTATCATAACAAATATAATTGTGTACTTGGAACTGTTAGGAGATAATGGGCATTTGTGAAACACTGGTTGCAACACTAACTTCTTAACCTGGTGTTCTTTGTTTATTCTGTTTCTACTAAGCTACCTCTACACACAAACACACACACACACACACCTGCTCATCCTGCACCACCAATGAGAGGCCCGTGTGTTAAGCTACTCTAAATAAATGACTAATATCAATATTTAACCAGCCCAGCCCTGGGCTCTCCACTCTAATTTTGTAGAGCAGTGATCTTCATCTAATCTCAGAAGTGAAGGTAGAAGAATTAGGATCCCAAGGCCAGCCTGGATTCCACAGTGGGCTTGGGACTATCCTGAACTACCTCAAAGGATTTTGTCCTAAAACAAACGAAAACCAAATCATTAGGGCCTGGAGTGGCAGCGCACCCCTTTAACCCCGCTCTCTCGGGAGGCAGAGGCAGGCGGATTTCTGGGGGTTCAAAGACAGCCTGGTCTGCAGAGCGAGTTCCAGGTCGGCTGTGGTTACACACTGAGACCTGGTTTCAAACAGGTCTCAAGCAACATTAACAGCAACAGAAAACTGCCTTCAGGGACATACACACCCAACTGGTTGTGGTTTCTTTTCTCGTTTGTTGTTGTTTTTCAGTATTTGCTACTCTTGCCAGGAGCCCAAGTTTGCTTCCCAGCTCCAGGGGACTCCATGCCCTCCTCTGGCCTTTTTGGATATCCCACACATATTTCTACATATAGATAGACACATAAGTCAAAATAAAACGCAACTGAGTAACATTTTCTTCGTGGATAGGTGTCCATCTAGCTTGTGACTGACGTTCGAATTACATCTTTAAGTGTTTGGTTACTGACTATGAAAACATAGCTCTTGAATGTGACCGTATAGACGCTGTGCTCATTTTGGATGGTCGGTATAGATACTTTACTTGTGCGAGAGCGTGTCTCAGAGTGCAGAGCAGGTGTGGAGGTTAGAGGACACTAGTGAGAGCCGGTTTCCTCCCACCGTGTGACTCCCAGGGATGAGTCTCAGGTCACCAGTCAGACTATGCGGTCATCGGTTACTCCCTGTGGCCACCAGCCAGTGTCCTTTGCTTTGACTGGCGCTCAGCCCGTCAGACTTATGTGCGATACACGTATCTTTCTCCAGGTCCTGAGAAGACTGTCTCGTGTTGACTGGCGAGGGCAACACACGAAAGCATCTCCCAAGCAGGAGCCGGGATCAGGGTTTAATTTTGGTATGTGTCCTTCGGCTTGGAAAATGTTTGTTTGGGATGTGTGTGTAAACATGGTGTCTGACGATGGGTAGACCCCTGTGCATCCTACGGTGTGGACAGGCTATGTGGATAGTGGCCTTCCTCCTCTCTTCCCGCAAGACGGCAACGCAGATACATGAATGTCTACTAATACATATGAATTGTCTTCAACCTAGAAGTTGAATGTAACAAATACTTGCTTTTTTTTTTCTGGCTGAACTGGAACTCTCTGTGGATAGATAGGCTGGCCTGGAACTCACAAATATCAAATATGTGCCTGCCCCTCCCTCCCTCCCTCCCTCCCTGAGATTAAAGGTGTGTGCAACCACAGCTGGCCCAACAAATAATACTGCTCAAAACACTTGTTCTATTCAATGCTGGGTGCTGTAACAAGCTCGGGGGAGGAAAAAAAAAAAGCTGGCCTGATTGATCCAAGCTACAGTTTGATGGTATCATATGACATTCTCAGACCTGAGACCAGGAAGCAATATGGTATTGGAGAGAAAAGGAGCAATGTTTTTCTTTCCTTTTTATAAAATGAAACATGGAGGTCAACAAATGTGAACAATATCCTATTTTGTGAACAATATCCTATTTTGGGGTGTCCTTTGCCCCTTAATGGTCTTTTGCTTTCAGATTTGTACCTTTCCTCTAGGTAGCTTTATTTTAAAAAAACACATGCATGCATACATACATACATACATACATACATACGTGAAATCTACATATAAATCAGAATTAAGCAGAGAATTTTCAAATGGTATGAGGATAGCAGATTGCATCAGTGGGCATTTGAAGACATAGCCTTTACTCCGCCATCTACTCTCAGCTCTCCATACAACCCCCCACCCCCACTCCCCACCCCACCCCTGCGCCCACATATTAGTTAGCACTAGCGAGACTCTGTGAGGCCGGCGAGTGCCAGAGGGTGGAGTAGATAGAAGGTGTTTAGGAGGGAGCTTGTGAGGCTTTGACCAAAGTGAGGCTAACTTATCCGGCCAGTCAGTCTGGTTCTGATGAAGTCTTTGGAGATTGATGTGCATATGAAAGCGGTTTGCCAGCCAAGAGTACAGTGCTAGATGTCTTTCTTTCCTCCCTTTGACCGGTCCATGGCCTTGACAGGATTTGTCCCCATCAAGGAGGCGAAGCTGTGATTCAGAAAACCCTGGATCACAGCTCCAGGCTCTCCTGCTGCTACCGTCACCGTGAGAGGGAATCGCCTCCTCTCTCTGCCTCAGTCTCTGCTCTTTTACAAAAGATTGCACTCACTTTTAGTAACAATATACCATAAAACAGCATGCCTCTCGTTTTTAAGGCAGGCGTTACTTCTGCGTGGTGTCTGGCTGTGTAAATTACAGACTAAAGTAACGCAGTATTCAGCCATGCCTCAAGTCTCTTTCCGTGGTGGAGACTTGACCGGTCATCCTTTTACATTCTACCACTCTTGTCACCATAGAAATGATAGCTGTAGTCACAAACATTCTTTTTTCTTTTTCCTTTTAGGCAGGCTCTCACCATGTTCCCTGTCTGTCCTGAAACTCACTGTGTAAACCAGGCTGGCCTTGAACTCACAGAGATCCTCCTGCCTCTGCTGCCTGAGTGCTGGGTATAAAGGCGTTCGCCACTCCATCTGGCTCGTTCTTCTGGGCTTTGGTTCTTACTATAATTGCCTAAAATATACAATGCCACCTTGAACACCACCGCCCGTGTGTGTGTGTGTGTGTGTGTGTGTGTGTGTGTGTGTGTGACGGAATCCGGGACCGCACGCACACAGGATAGGCAGGCGCTCTGCCAATGAGCTATACTCCATGAGCTACACTCCGGCCTCATTTTTCACATTGGTGCACCCACACTGAAACACTAGATAGCACGGGTCTACGAAAATGCAATTAGCCATCTACCTTTACCCTGGGGTCCGGACAACATAGCCATCGCGTTAATTTTACAGTAACTAGTTTTATTTTGTGTAAATGGATTACTTGAATGTTGCCTGTTAGTAACACAGAGGGTTTTGTGTGGTTGCTACTATTATTTTGGAGAAATTTCTCATTGCTTTTACCAGTTTACTTGTGGGAATTTACATTCTTAAATTTGCTGGGGGTCTAAAGAAGAGTGAGATTTAAATTGTGGTGTTGGTGTTCTTCTATAATTCTTTGGAATAAGTTTATTACTGTATGCTGACCGACTGTGCCTTGCCTCTTTAGGCTGCTTCCTCAGGTCAGAAGTGTGTCTTAGGATAAACGTAAATCTCCACTGAGATGGGAGGCCATTGCAATAGGGAATATATTATATTTAGTTACATACAAGCTGGGGGGACAGAAAGCGTGGCAGGCACCCGGAGAAGAGAGCTTCCTTTTCCCTTTCACTTCCTTTTATCCTCACCTGTGTTAAAGTTCCCTATCCCCGCCCTTATGGGCATGAGGAGTTTTGTGGGCTCACCCCTACACTCCGCATAATAGCTTCATGTGGGTTCCTTGTTCAACTTGATTCCCTCTTTTTGACGTTCTCAAAATCATTTCCTTTAGAGTTGACTGAGCAGCAGAAAGAATTTCAAACAACCGCTCGAAAGTTTGCCAGAGAAGAAATAATCCCGGTCGCGGCAGAATATGACAGAACCGGTGAAGTGGGTGTCGCCTTGCCGGGAGAAATTCTTATGCTATTATGAGATCACGCTACCATTGCCTGTGGTGTAACTGTTGTTGTTGTTCCCTTATAGTACCCGTTACCCCTAATTAAAAGAGCCTGGGAACTTGGTTTGATCAATGCACACATTCCAGAGAACTGTGGTAAGCTTCCTTCACGTTTTTAGTCCTGAAATTTAGAAAGAAAGAAAGAAAGAAAGAAAGAAAGAAAGAAAGAAAGAAAGAAAGAAAGAAAGAAAGGAAATTCTGTCATTCTCTAAAAGGTCTGTTGCCAGTCGGTGGCTTTCTGCCATTGTTTCCCTGTTTAGACAACACAGTATTTGCCTGCTTTGGGGAGGCTTTCCGTAGCACAGAGCACAGACGTTTTCCGTGTATTGACTTGTTCTTCTCATTCTAATGCTCTGCGCACACTGCGATGCCACAGGCGGTCTCGGACTGGGGACTTTCGATGCTTGTTTAATTACCGAAGAGTTGGCGTACGGGTGTACCGGGGTACAAACTGCCATTGAAGCAAACTCTCTGGGGGTATGTTTCTAAGAAAACAGTAATTTATCATGGGCCTTGTGAGATGAGTTAGTGGGTAGAAATAAGTAAAATTATAACTTAGTGAAATGGGAATTGTTTGCCTGGGCTGTTAATGAGTCACTACTAGTGAAGTTAGGCTAGACTCTGTAAGAACTGTGAGGAAGATTTGCTAGCCTGGCTTGGAGACGGGATTGCACAGCTTGGTCATGGGAGTTCTGTCGTCTCCAATGCTGGAGTTCTGGGTGTCCTCCTGAGGAAACGGTGCACTTTGGCTACAGATTCCGTGGGAATTCTTGGACAAGGGCAAGGCTTGAAGTGGCTAGAAGCCGTCCTGTCAGCTGCTGCCTGCTTAACATCTGCTCACACGCAGCCCGCCGCATATCCTAGGTTTACTCTGTAGTTTACTCTGTGAGCATCCTACTGTAGTCTGTCTCACCAACAACTGTAACTTGAGCTTACACCAGCTGCCTGTCTCCTTGCCTGCCAGCTTTTTAGCTCAGAGCCAATGCCAGTTCTTTGAATTTTACTCCTTTCTGGATTGTTGAGTTGTGTTTCTGAAGCTACATATCTAATAGAATAGTTTGCTGTTCTAATGTTAATTTTCCTTGGTAGCAAATGCCTGTGATCCTCGCTGGAAACGACCAGCAAAAGAAGAAGTATCTGGGGAGGATGACAGAGCAGCCCCTGATGTGTGTGAGTAGGTTCCGCCTGTCCCTCCTGCCTCCGCCTTCCCAGGGTTGGGACTACCGATGCGTGCTTCCACACGGAACGCAGCTCACATGGTGCCTGGGGTGGAGCTCAGGGCCTCGTGGAGGAGCCCAGGCTCGGTTCCCAGCTCATCCTCACCTCACACACTTCCTTCTGCGGAGAGCACATAGTCTCCTTTTCCTCTTCCTGCAGAAGAGTCTTTCTACTTGAGACTCGACTTAAGTGTCATCTCAGGGAAGCTGGCTTCTCAAGTCTGGTGCTTAATGCCCACACTTAGCATGGTTACCCCGTTACCCTGTGAAAATCCTGGTAGATGCTCAATGAATATTCCAACAAGTCAGTTTGTAGAAAGTTAAACTTCAGGATTTTTAATATGCCTAATATATTAATATCGCCTATAGTTTATTGGTATCCTATGCCTAGTTTTAATTTACATATTAAATATTTTACATTTGAGCAATTTACTTGGTTTTCTAAGCACTGCAGTGAGTCTCTGTCCCACCAGCTCCCGAATAATGACACAGAGACTTATTATTAGTTATGAAGGTTTGGCCTTAGCGTTGGCTTGTTTTAATTTACACGAGTACTCTATCTGCATGTGTGCCTGCACACCAGAAGAGGGCATCAGAACTCACTACAGATGGTTGTGAGCCACCGCGTGGGAATTGAACTCAGGACCTCTGGAAGAGCAGCCAGCAATCTTAACCTCTGAGCCGTCTCTCCAGCCTGCTTAGGCGTGTTTTTAGCTAACTCGTATAACTTAAATTAACCCATTTGTGTTAACCTCTGTTTTGACTCGGAGCGTTTACCACTCTCCCATCTCATGCCTTTCTGTCTCCTCTCCGAGTCCTCTGGCGTGCGCCCCACGCCTCTCGGTTCCTCCCCTCCCCCTCCTCTGTCTCTCTCAGGAGTCCGGCTTTGTCCAGCTTCTTAGTAAACCAATCACGGTGACATATCTTTACACAGCGTAACCATACGTCCCCATCACGTAGAACATCGCGATCTCAGATAATCATTCGTGATGCAGTACTAGAGATGAAATGCAGGGGCTAGGGTACAGCTCACTGGTAGAACGCTTGAGGACCCCGGGGTTCTATCCTGGCGCCACCACAAAACCAAGCGGTGCCCTTACCAGATGTTGGCAAGGCGGTCACTTTGATGTTTGTCCCCTCGTGTTCAAGGCCTACTGTGTCACGGAGCCCTCGGCAGGCTCCGACGTGGCTGGAATTAAGACCAGAGCAGAGAAGAAGGGTGATGAGTACGTCATCAACGGCCAGAAGATGTGGATAACCAACGGGGGGAAGGCAAACTGGTACCGTTCCTGACTCCTCCCCCTTTGGGCTCCCCCTTCTCTGACTCCTCCCCCTTTCCCTGACTCCTCCCCTTTCTCTGACTCCTCCCCCTTTCTCTGATTCCTCCCCCTTTCTTCCCCTATTTCTAAGCCTCTCGGCTAAAGCAAGCCGTAGCTTTGAAACTGGAAGGTCCCTCCAGTATTATAAATAGCCCAGCGACTCGGTAACTGTTGTAAGCCCCTGAGCTGTTTCTTACAGATCAATTTAAGAAGCCTGATGTGTAAAGTGTGGTTAAAAAAATAGCTAATCTTTTTTTTTTTTTTAAATAGCTAATCTTACTAAGTCCATCCGTTAGGCTTTAGTTCCGTTGCCCCATCTCTTCCTACACTAACACTTCCCTGCCACCCTAAAACTCTCAGGAAAACAAAGTTATTTGTAAGGATGTTCTGGTTCTTGGTAGACTTGTGGTTCTGGGGTTGAACCTAGATATTTGTGAATGACAGCCAAGCACTATGCTGTGGTGCCCGTCCCCAATAGAGCCATTCTTAAAGCTTGAGTTGGCCGCCGGGCGTTGGTGGTGCACACCTTTAATCCTAGCACTCAGGAGGCAGAAGCAGGCTGATCTCAGTGAGTTCAAGGCCAGCCTGGTCTACAAAGCAAGTTCCAGGACAGTCAGGACTGGTAAACAGAGAAGCCCTGTCTCAAACAGGTAGGTAGGTAGGTAAGATTGATATCCTCTTGACCTTTTGACTAAGATCAAATGGAAGTAGGCTTGCCTGGTTACTTCAGGAAGACAGTAATTAACAAATGAAAGTTAGAAACATATAAACTCTAGCTCATTTTAAGAACAGCCTTTGCAAAGGCCTGTATGCATTGTCTTGGAAAGCAGGGTTTTGCCCATTACTATAAGAATACGACGGAAGACTTCTTAGGGGGGGTTTAGGGTACGCCTTAGTCACTGCTCTACTGCTGTGAAGAGACACCAAGACCAAGGCAGCTCTTGCAGAAGGAAGCATTCACTGGGGGCTTGCTTACAGTTTTAGAAGGTTAGTCCGTGACCACCATGGCGGGAAGCAGGAATGGTGCTGGGGCCATAGCTGCGAGCTTTACCCCCGACTCTGCAGGCAGCAGGCAGACAGAGAGAGAGACCCTGGGCCTGGCATCGGCTTTGAAACCACAAAGTCCGTCCCCCTGTGGCACACTTCCTCCAACAAGGCCACACCTTATCCAATAAGGCCACACCTCCTAATCCTTCTCAAACAGTTCTAGTCACTGGTGACTGAGCATTCAGATATGTAAGCCTATGGGGGCTATTTTCATCCAAACTATGATGGGAGATTAGGATGGTAATCTTTGTTTGTTTGTTTTGGTTTTTTTGTCTTGTTTAGTATTTGTTTTTGACAGTTTCACTCTGTAGCTCAGACCAGTCTGGAAGTCACTGTGGAGCATAGTCTGAACTCGAACTCACAGTGATCCTCCTGTCCTAAGATTCCCAAATGCTAGGACTGCAGGTCTGACCCAGCGCAGCCGACTCTGAAAAGGTTCTACACCGTATGTGTATGTGATGCACTGTGGGAAAGCATCCATCCCGTCATGATGGACTGGGCAGCTCACACTTACCGTGCACAGGCGTCGGGGCTGGGAATAGGAATCGGGGAAGCTGTTGATTCTAAATATTTACCAGTCCCCTTTGAGTATCCTAGGTGAGTCCAGTGCTACATAAGCTCAGTACCCTGATCAGTATCAGTTAATGACAGCATCGTTTAGTATCCTCACATCAGCAAGTAGTAAGGGAGCAAAGAAGCCATGAAAATTGAACGAGCTAGGAGAAATAGGCAATGAAATAATCACAGTTTTAAGAACTGACTATAATTCTCTCTGGGGAAGACAAGTTCGGTGAGCCATGAAATTAGAAAATAATTTTGTCTTTTCCTGTTATCAAATGAAACCGTACCCAGTGATAAACTGATAAATTATTGGGGTTTCCAGCATAAAAATTCATTGCTTAAGGAAGAATAAGACGCTCAATCCCTCTTTCAGTGCTAGGACTGACTAGTGCAAGGCTCAGCTTGAACTCAAGCCACATGGCTTGTAGTACTTTTGTCAAGGTTCCAAAAACAAAACAAACCAGCCTGTATCAGGTTACACGGGAAACTAGTTTGAATGTGGGGATTCCCAGGACTCCTTTATCTCCCCCCACCCCCTGGGATGTTCGGGGGGGCAGCTGAGATACTAATCAGTGTGTGTTACAATTGCCAATGTCGTGGGTTTGTGTGCCCTAGGTATTTCTTATTGGCACGTTCTGACCCAGATCCCAAAGTGCCTCCCAGTAAAGCCTTTACTGGATTCATTGTGGACGCTGACACCCCAGGAATACATATTGGGAAAAAGGTAAACATCGCGTCTCTTAACACTTGCATCCGTTAAGTGCAACTTCAACTGTAAATGTCAAGGTTCTTTGTAGGAGTGAACCCCACAAAGCTATCCGCCCAACAGGGCGGGGTCAAGGTAGAGATAAAAGGAAGTGAAAGGAAAAGGGGCTTCCCTTTTCTCCTGGAAGCCAGCCACGCTTCTAACTCCTGGTCTGTGCTACTCTCTCTCTCTCTCTGGTAAATAAATATATTGTTTTCCCTATATAGCTTCGAGTATTGTTATAGTTCTTAGCTGTTTCCTTTAATGAAAAAAGATACTTTGAGTTGGAATCAAAGTCGGGTTGTGTCTGGATGATATTGGGGACCCAGTTTATGTGTCCACGGAAAATCTTTCCAGTCATTTTGAAAGATGAGCCCCTTGTGAGGAACACATTCATGACAGCTGTTGCTGCGGACAGAAGCCAGGCTGCCTCGATTGCTGCCTCACCACAGAGTTTAGAATTCTCAGCATTCTTCTTCCTCCTTTGCAGTGAATGTGCACAAGCTTCGACTAGGACTGTTAAAGACATATGACGTAGATGGACTACCCACCATCCCACAGCATTAACAGAAGCAGCCGTACCTTGGAGACAAGAGGGTGTCAGTCAATGTCAGTTAGTGCTGGGTGTGTGAATTAAGAAAGCGGTGGCGAGTCTGGACACCAGTCTCAATGTTTGCAGAGACTTTAACAGGTGGCCCGGCAAAGGAGAGGAGTATCATAAGAAGTCCAGCTGAGAGCGTGCAAACATGGCTTCAGATCATAACTGAAGGAAATGCTTTTGCCAAGGAGGGTTTTTAAAGAAAACTTAATGACGAAGGGGGTGGTCTGGAGCTATGGAGAGATTGTGGAAATCAAGCCAGAGTCCTGAAGGGAACCTGAACAAATTGTCTTCTTCCCCGTGAGGGAAGGTTTGGATTACCTGGTCAGATGTTGGAGCTGGTCTCCTTAGGTTGAACTGGAAAATAATGGATTTGAATTGATGTTTAAGATGAGACAGATTTCTAAGCCAGCTTTCTGTGTTTGTAGAATCTGCTGTTGTGTCCCGGTCTCTTTAGAAATGTGTTGAGTATGTAAACGTTTATAACTTCTGCCTGTAATGAGTCTTTCTCTGTCCCTCCAACCAGCCTCAAATAACGACACAGAGACTTGGTATTAATTATGAATGCTCGGCCTTAGCTTAGGCTTGTCCCTAACTAACTCTTACAGCGTGAATTGATCCGCATCTTTTCATCTGTGTTCAACCAGATTTTACCTTTCCTTAATTCTGCACCTCCGACTCCCTCCGCGTCTGACTGGTGGGCGACTCCACCTTTCCTTTTCCCAGAGTCCTCTCTGTCCCCCGGAGTCCCACCTAACCTCTGCCTGCCTCGCTGTGGGCCATTCAGTTCTTTATTTTTGGCTGTGAACCTAGCCCTTAATGGCTGGGCCATCTCTCCAGCCCCCGTTCAGCTCTATTGAACCAGTCACAGTGACACGTCTTCACACCGTGTGCAAATGACCTGCTACACCTGCCAGGCAGGCAGTGCCCGCCTTCAATTCCCAGTGCTCCCGGGGCTGAGGCAGGAGGATCACAAACTCTAGGCCAGCTTGGGCCATGTCCTGAGACTCAGTCTCTAAAAGGAGGTAAGGACAGGACTTGGGCTGAGACCCCACGTGCTGTTTGCTCCAGCCTGTTCACTGACTACAGAAACCAAGTAAATGATTTACTGACGGTCTCCAGGGCAGAGGCTGACCTGAGACCTGTGGTGTTGTGTCTATTACGATTTCAACCTGTACAATTTCCGATGCCATATTATGCTGTGTTTTTAAAAGAGAAGATATATTGAAGGCAGACTGCACTTCACAGAAAGACTAATAACATCATGCATATAACATAGTGTGAGCCCTGTGAGCAGTCACACTTCTCCCCAGAGACTGGTGTGTGTGTGTGTGTGTGTGTGTGTGTGTGTGTGCGTGTGTGTGTGTGTGTGTGTGTGAGATTGTGCTCTCCCACTCAGAGATGGCTCCTGGCAGACTCGGGGCCAGGTCTGGCCCATCTCAGCTAAGTGGAAAGACAGTCAGAACTTGTACTTTACCAGTGGCAAACTGGTATGACAGTTGATACTGTCTCGCTGTTATCTCATTCTCATTTAGGAAGACTCTAACTGGATCAATATTTATTACTGAATGTATGCTGTATGCTAGGTACTGATAAAAACCTCCACACCTGGGGACTTGTTTTCTAGTGAGGGGTGTAGGCATTTTTATTATTAGCTGCTTAGCTCCTAAAAGTTCTTTTAAACAAATAACCATTTGTAAATCAGTGAGATTCATATTGTCAAAATGTTTCTTTTGCATTAGAAATTCTGTGTTTTGAGATGAGTCTGAGAAGCATTTTGACTTTGTGTTCTTAGTTGTTGTTTTTTTTTGTTTGTTTTGTTTTGTTTTTTGAGAAAAATTCTCACTCTGTAGTGCTATGTGTCCTGACTCACTGTGTGGACCAGGCTGGCCTCAGACTCACAGAGATCCATCTCTCTCTGCCTCCTGAGCACTGGGATTAAAGGTATACACCTAACCTTACTCTATGTTTCTAACCTTTTACTGTTGCTAATTTATGTAAACCAGGTTTTATTATAATTTGCATTGCATGTGAAAGACCTAGTACAGTACACTGCCAGGCTCCTGCTTCCCCACAGCATGAAAAGGAAATAAATGCCTCCCCACAGAAAATAGGAAAGCAAAATCCATGTTTTGTGCAATAGATCACTTTGTTAGTGATTACAGCTCTAAGACTATGTTTGTAAAATAATTTAGCAAATAGAAAGACGGTAGCTTTCAAACATGTATAAGGTATAGTTGTTATACTGAACTTCAGGCTAAATCAGCATCTGTGTGTTCATTTGGGACTGACGTTGCTTCGAGACCAGGCTGGCGGGAAGAACCATCCTTAGCAAGTTTCTGTTTCTCCCTGCTTATATCCTGCTTCTGCCCAGCTACCTCACTGTTCAGACCTCCAGATCTCTATAGTTAGCTAGGGGCAAGCTCCATTCTCTGACCTTCAGACGGGCTTTATCTGTACAAGGAAGATCTCACCACACACAGCTCAGCTCTGCCATTGTTTGTAGTCTCAGAGCAGCCAAGGAAGATGAGCGGAGATGGGTGTGTTTCGGGAAGCAGGTATTGCGGCCCCTGTGTTGAGGTCCCTGCTTTAGGTAACTGCAGAAATCACAAAGGAATGACTGGCAACCTTGTAACTCCTAAGTGTTTCTTCCGTGATCTTCTTGCTAGGAACTAAACATGGGCCAGCGATGCTCCGATACAAGAGGAATTACCTTTGAAGACGTCAGAGTGCCTAAGGAAAATGTCTTAATTGCTGAAGGAGCTGGCTTCAAGATTGCAATGGGGGCTTTTGACAGAACCAGACCTTCAGTAAGCTGATCATTTTTGTAGGACCTTTTGTTTGCCTCTCTCTGTCTCTCTCTCTCCCTTTCTCTCTCTCCCTTTCTCTCTCTCTCTCTCTCTCTCTCTCTCTCTCTCTCTCTCTCCCTCCCTCCCTCCCTCCCTCCCTCCCTCCCTCTCTCTCTCTCTCTCTCTCTCTCTCTCTCTCTCTCTCTCTCTCTCTCGCTCTCGCTCTCGCTCTTTCTCTCCCTTAGTAATAGTGGTGGAGAGGAGATTGTTACTTGTACTATGTATATTTAAACTTCTTTTGCTGCTTACTATAGAAGCTAATTTAGCAGATGTTAAAACGACTGTCTGGCCGGGCGGTGGTAGCGCACGCCTTTAATCCCAGCACTCGGGAGGCAGAGGCAGGCGGATCTCTGTGAGTTCGAGGCCAGGCTGGACCGACAGCCTCCAAAACAATAAAGAGAGACCCTGTCTTGTAAAAACAAAAAAAAAAACAAAAAAAAAACGACTGTCTGCTAGAGTTCCAGAAGGCTCACCCCTAGCTTGATCATTCTTGTTGATTGTGGACCACCGTGTATTCTGCTGCTCACTTAGAATGTGTCTATGGAGGGCTCCCCGGTTAAACAGAAATGACTTTTCTCTAGGCTGTGAGCCTTGGCCTATTTATTTATTTATTGCATGGCAATGGAGATAAACTCAGGGCCCTAGTGAAAGCTAAGCATGCACTCTGCCACTGACCCGCATTCCCAGCCTCTGCCCTTACCTTTAATTAAAAAACAGTAGACCCAAACACTCTTTCCCCCACTGCAGTGACACCACTGTCTGTGTCCTTTACTGAAACTCTTACACAGGTGGTGATATGCTGTGTGGCCTGATGACAAAGTGAACCTTTTCATCACACAACAATACACAATGTTACTATCCTAGGTTGCAGCTGGTGCTGTCGGGCTAGCCCAGAGAGCTCTGGACGAAGCTACAAAGTATGCCCTGGAGAGGAAAACATTTGGGAAGCTGCTAGTAGAGGTAATCTTTTGTTCTCTCCGGGGGTGGTGTGTGTGTGTGTGTGTGTGTGTGTGTGTGTGTGTGTGTTCATGAGTGAATGCACATATTTGCACATTTATATGGAGATCAAAGGACAACCTCGGGTGTCCGTTGTTACCTTTTTTTTTTTTTTGGTTTTTTCGAGACAGGGTTTCTCTGTGGTTTTGGAGGCTGTCCTGGAACTAGCTCTTGTAGACCAGCCTGGCCTCGAACTCACAGAGATCCGCCTGCCTCTGCCTCCCGAGTGCTGGGATTAAAGGCGTGCGCCACCAACGCCCGGCTTCGTTGTTAGCTTTTTTGTTGTTTTGTAGAGACAGTGTCTCTCACTGGCCTGGGGCTCCCGTTAGGTTAAGTGAGCTCAAGGATCTACCTGTCTCTGCCTCTCCAGTGCTAATCCTCCTGGTACCCACCTGTCTATGTAGCTTTTTCACATGGGTTCTGGGGATCTGAACTCAGGTCTCAGGCTTGTGTGGCAAGCATTTTACGGACAGCCATCTACCCGGCTGTTGAGGGTGCAGTCTTAGTACTGTGTTTGCTTTGGTGAAATTTAAATACACTCACTTTATCTAAATGTTAAGAAGTTACTTGGGGCTGAGAGATGGCTCAGAGGTTAAGAGTCCTGACTGCTCTTCTAGAGGTCCTGAGTTCAATTCCCAGCAACCACATAGTGGCTCACAACCATCCGTAATGAGATCTGGCGCCCTCTTCTGGTGTGCAGACACACATGGAGGCAGGATGTTGTATTCATAATAAATAAATCTTTTTTTAAAAATTTACTTTAGCCGGGTGTTGGTGATGCACGCCTTTAATCCCAGCACTCGGGAGGCAGAGGTAGGCAGATCTCTGTGAGTTCGAGGCCAGCCTGGTCTACAGAGTGAGTTTCAGGCTAGCCTCCAAGACAATACAGAGAAACCCTGTCTCAAAAAATAAAAAAAAAATTTACTTTAAAAGAAGAAAATAATCTGTTTTGTCAGGAAGATTCATCACAATCGCTTGTGAGAGTACATTTTTCTCAGTTAGGCAGGTAGTGGCACTCACCCTTAATCCCAGCCCTCAGGAGGCAGACGCAGGCGGATCTCTGCAAGTTCAAAGCCAACCTGGGCTACATAATGAGTTCCAGGGCAGTCAGGGCTACACAGGAAAACTCTGTCTTGAAAAATTTTTTTTTCTTTTGACTGTTTCACTCACAATTGGTCACCCTATGAATTACACTAAGGAAGAAAAGGGCTAATATTTAAGGTGCCTTCTGGACACCTCTTTTTGTAGCCCTGGCTGGCCTGTATGTAGACCAAGCTGCCCACACACTCACTGAGACCCACCAGCCTTTGCCGCCTGAGTGCTGGAATAAGATCTGCTCCATCCAGCCTGGCTCCGTGATTATTTCTGTTGGTAGTAACTTTTCCGTGCTCCTTTATGCCTCAGTTCCCTGTCTGGTAAGGTTGGAAAGGAGAAAGACGGCTTCCCCGTCTGGCTTCATCTGACTCCGTGGCTCCTAGCTTTTCTGTGTGCTCTCTCTCCGGCCTTGACTTCTGAACTGAGCTCCAGGCTAAGATTTAAAGATGGCTCCTTACCATCTGTAGGTGATTTCCAAACCCGAGGTCATTTCCTGTCCCTCTTCTCTTTCCCTCTTCCTTAACATTTTAGTCTCAAAATTCAGGAAGCTTCCAGAGAGAGGCGGTGGGAGGCCCTGTATCGACCACAACGCCCCGCCCCGCCCCGCCCCACTCCGGGGTTGCTGCTCTCTCTGCCTTTAATACATACCCATCCCACATGGATTCCAGTATGGCAGCCCCGCTGTGCACTCTCCGCTGTGACACCGGTACTCACATAAGGCTTGCTGGCTGTGGCCCTCACTCTTCCACTGGAAACTGTTCCCTGTGATATGGAGTCTGTATTTTTAGAAGCCCTTAGCTTTAGTCTCATTCAACAGTAGTCGCTGAATATTTACTACACGAAGACACTTCGGGTGCGGTCTCCGTTGCAGGCACTTCTAAGTGTGTCGCAGGTACCAGCTCATGCCATTCCCCCAACACTGTGGAGCAGGCACTGTCATTTGCATTTATGACCTGTAAGAACATTAGGGCCAACTAATAAATGGCAGAACCAAGTCTTGAACCCAAATAATCATGCATTTACAGATCCTATCCCCTGTACGGCTTTGGCAGTTTCTACCCTCGGGAACGTTTACTTTGGAGATCAATTGCTCATTGTAGAACAAATACTAACAAAGAGTACAGAGCAACATTTAAGTCCCCAAATGAAACCTATGAGGCGGAGTTACTAAACCCAGAGACAGAGAGAGAGAGAGAGAGAGAGAGAGAGACAGAGAGAGACAGAGAGAGAGAGAGACAGAGAGAGAGAGACAGAGAGAGAGAGAGAGAGAGAGAGGGAGAGAGAGAGAGAGAGAGAGACAGAGAGAGAGAGAGACAGAGACAGAGAGAGAGAGAGACAGAGAGAGAGAGACAGAGAGAGAGAGAGAGAGAGAGAGAGAGAGAGAGAGAGAGAGAGAGAGAGACGCGCTACGTGGGTTGTACTTGTTGCCCAGAAGCAGCCTTTGTGAATCCCTTTTAGCGCCCAATAAAAGCACCTACTGTGGACCACACACAAAAAAAGATAACCCCAAGCTATGATCTGAATCATCATACTTACTCTTTATCTCAGCGTTGTGCAGAAATAGCCGAAATACTGACCATTTGCAGGAGAGGGACAGCGTCTGTGCAGCTACAAAAACTAAGACAATTCTTTATGCACCGATGCAGCTGTGCACAATTTACTGACAAGGAAAGCAAGATGAAAACCCATCAGTCTCGTAGGCTACCATGTGTGTAAAAACATGGGAGACATTTGCATGTGTTGGTGTAAACTACCTCTGGAAACATAAGACACATACTTGTGCTTCGAGTCTCTGCAGAGATTTAGACATGATGGACGTTAGTATTCAGGCGTCTGCACAGGGCTGTCCTTGGGGTTCTGACAGGATATACCCTCAGCTGCAAGCCACTAAGAGCACCACCTGTGCACACTGACTACGTTCTAATAATGAGAAAATATTAGATAAACCAAACCAAGGAGAAATTTCAAAACAAATCAATATTCTTCAAAAGGACAGAAGTCAGAAGATGGGAACTTAACATAGTCTGGAAGGTTCTCTGAGGCAGTAATTACAGCAGGGTGAGTCTTGAGTGAGTTCAAGATCAATGTTGGCTATAGTGCAAGGCTGTCTTAAAAATAGAAGAGAGGAGGATGGAGAGATGGCTCAGAGGTTAAGAGCCCTGGCTGCTCTTTCAAAGGACCCGGATTCAATACCCAGCACCCACATGGCAGCTCACAACTGTCCGTAACTCCAGCTCCAGGGGATCTGACACCCTCATACAGACATATATGCAGGCAAAACACCTATGTACATTAAATAAATAAAGAGATCTTTTTTTTAAAAAGTGGAAAAGAAGCAGGTAAATGTCTTGAGTTAGAGGTCAGCCTGGTTTACAGAGTTCCAGAACAGCCAGGAGTACATAGAAAAATTCTGTCTCAAAAAAAAAAAAAAGAGAGAGAGAGAGAGAGAAAGAAAGAAAAAAATAAAAAGCTAGAAACAAGCTGGGCGGTGGTGGCGCACGCCTTTAATCTCAGCACTCGGGAGGCAGAGGCAGGCGGATCTCCGTGAGTTCAAGGCCAGCCTGGTCTACAGAGCGAGTTCCAAGACAGCCTCCAAAAACAACACAGAGAAACCCTGTCTTGAAAAACCAAAAAAAAAAAAAAAAAAGCTAAAAACATAGGGTCTATGTCGTTTAATGGTGCTCATGTGGTAAGTGTCTTACCATTAGGGTAAGCTAGCTGTAACTTTTCTGCAAGTCCAAAATTAGTCCAAAATAAAAAGCAAAAGAGTTTAAAGACAAACATTACAAATACTGCCAATAGACACCCTTTAACTGTTTTCTCCCCTTAAATCTAGCACCAAGCAGTTTCATTTCTGCTCGCAGAAATGGCGATGAAGGTTGAACTCGCTAGACTCAGCTACCAGAGAGCAGCGTGGGAGGTTGACTCTGGCCGCCGGAATACATACTACGCCTCCATTGCAAAGGCTTTCGCTGGAGATATTGCCAATCAGTTAGCTACTGATGCCGTGCAGATTTTTGGAGGCTACGGCTTCAACACAGAATACCCTGTGGAAAAACTGATGAGGGACGCCAAGATCTATCAGGTAGGCTGTCTAGTCTTGTTTCTGGGGGGTGATGGAATACCATAGGTGACAAAAGTAGATTTAAGGCACTGGTAATAGTGACAGTTGGACCAGGAAAATGGCTCAGAGGGTGAATGGTGTGACTCACTGTCCACCGTGCTCGACAACCTGAGTTGGAATCCTAGAATCCACATGGTAAGAAGAAAACGACTCCTAAAAGCTGACCTGTGAGTTCCACACAAATGCCATAGCATACATGCATCTACGCAGCACATGTAAAAAAAAATTGTGAAATAAAAATAAATGATAATTATAGATTGGTATGAGTCAGATTTCGTAGCTAGTCTACACATAAGAAGAATGTTGTCTTTTTATTAAGTGTAGCTGCTAAGAGGGAAGGGGCTAGCCAAGTAAACGGCATAGGCGTGTATCACCCGCCTAACTCTGCCCATCTCTGTGACTTCTAATCTTAACCAATTGCAGTCTGCATTTTCCTGCCCTCTGACAAGTATACCTGCCCTTTAAAATCATCTTGTCTTGAATGTTGCCTGACATCTCGTTAGTTCATTGAAACTGTACTTACAGTCAAAAGCCATGTGTCCCTTAGAAGTGATATCTGACTCTGGAATTAAGTTGGCAATTAGAGAGTCAGAGCGACTTCATAAAGAATAGAGAGGACTGTACGTGTTCTCCGTTGTGGGTGAGGGACAGCCCGTGGCTTGTTCTGCACACACCCAGCAGAGGCAGAGACTGCTTGAGTGAGACACGGGCAGCTGGCCGAGTTTCTGTTGTTGATGGTTGTTGTTTGAATTCAGTTTTTTCTTTGTTTGTTTGTCTTGTTTTCAATCGGGGCTATCCAATGTTTTTCATTCTCTTGCCATGTCTGCCTTTTCTGGATGATCATCACCTAGCTTTCATACAACAGGACAGTCTTGTGTCACTTAGCATAGAGCAGGAAATGCTCACGAAACACAACACGTCAACACTGAAAGTGATGGAGCTGGAGAGGCAGCTCAGCAGTTAAGAACACGCGCAGCTCTTGCGGGGGACCTGGGGTTTCATTCCCAGCACCCATGACGCGTTGGCTCATACGCCATCTGTGACAACAGTCCCAGGGGCACCCAGGCCCTCTTCTGGCCTCCGCACGCACCAGGCACCCACGTGGCGCGCATATCCATACTTGTAGGCAAGTTCACACGCATAAAATAAAAATGATTACTCAGAATTCTGTCTTCTACAGTGGTCTGCCCATAGGCCAGTCTTTTTATTTAAACACGGGACGTGAACTCTGGGACGTGCTTCCTGTCTGAAGTCACCAGTCTTTGCAGTTACTCGTTAGTTCCCCTGTCCCAGAGCCTGTAATTGTCGTAAATTCCTCTCGCCCCAAGGATGAAGTGAGGAGTGGCTGAGATTGGAAGCTCAGACTGAGAATGGGATGGGTTACCAGGGATTAAAGCCCAAAGCCTCCAATATCGTGACTTCTTCAACAGTTCCTTGTGCAGTAGTGGAAAAAAAATCACGTTTAATAGAATAGAGAATAGCTGAAAAAAAATCATGTTTATGGGAGGCAGAGGCAGGCGGATCTCTGTGAGTTCGAGGCCAGCCTGGTCTACAAGAGCTAGTTTCAGGACAGCCTCCAAAACAATACAGAGAAACCCTGTCTCGAAAAAAGCCAAAAAAAAAAATCATGTTTAATAGTAAGAACAGGAAGCTAAAAAAAAAAAAAGGACACAACCAAAAACAGCTCAGAAAAGCTGGATAATAAATGCTCTGCAGCATTAACCCTCAGATTTCCCAAACATTTTGAAGTGTAAATGTCATTTCCTTTGATGGTTTAAGCCTGCCTCCCAGTTTTGGAAAGTAAATTTCTATGACTTTAACTGTTCTCGTAAAATAACGTTTCAGTTTGGTGCTACAGTAGAGCTTAGACTGTTGCCTGAGACATCAAATGAATCCAGGTGTTTAAACCAAGTCATGTTTTTCTTTTCAGATTTATGAAGGTACTGCACAAATTCAGAGGCTGATCATAGCCCGTGAGCACATTGGAAAGTTTAAAAAGTAAAGGAAGTTGCTGCTGAAGAGACGCTTCATCCTCGTGCGAATAAATCTCAAGGCACTGTTTATGCTTAAGAGAAAAAGAAGGGCTTTATCATCTTTCAAGAAAATAAAATAAAAGATGAATAACAGATCTGTGCAGTTTATTCCAGTGGTGGAATGTACCTCTGTTGAGCTCCATGGTTTCAGGATAAATTTGGTTTATCGGAACAATGAGTTGTCCTTAGTACCCCTGCCCCTGGATGATGTTTGCTCTGTGATAACTTACGTTAACCACAGTTGAAGAAATGCACTGGAGTTTTAATGCTCATCCAAGTGACAGGAAAGGAAGCTATTAAGAAAGAACTCTGGAGCCTGGCGGTGGTGGCGCACGCCTTTAATCCCAGCACTCGGGAGGCAGAGGCAGGCGGAACTCTGTGAGTTCGAGACCAACCTGGTCTACTGAGCGAGTTCCAGGACATGGTCCAAAAAACAATACAGAGAAACCCTGTCTCGAAAAAAAAAAAAAAAAAAAAAGAACTCGGGCTGGAGAGATGGCTCAGAGGTTAAGAGCACTGACTGCTCTTCCAGAGGTCCTGAGTTCAATCCCCAGCAACCACATGGTGGCTCACAACTACCATGAGTGAGATCTGGTGCCCTGTGCTGGCATGCAAACAGAAGGTTGTATACATAATAAATAAATAAAATTAAAAAAAAAGAACTCCGTTGAAGAGTCTAAAATATACGCTGAAAACATGGAGATTTGGATCTATCAGACTCTAAAGACATTTATGTACTAAAGTGTTAATCTCATAATTCTGTTTTGCACAAAGAAGTAAAAGAAAAATAGTCATATTTTTCCTATTATAAAACTGTAAGAGGTTTCTGGAAAAATCTTAATAATGAACCAACATTTCACTTGTCTTGTTTAAAATCATTCAATCAAGCTGTTTATTTCTGTCACTCTTGAGGTGTGTATACACCCTTTGGGCTGCTGGTTTTCTCACACGTGACTTTAAGAAGGAACTAAAACAGAACCCCACAGTGTCCCGTGCCTGGGTACAGTTGTATTACTGGGCTTTAAGATTTTATTTTACTGGGTGTCAGTGAAGAGGCCTAGGGAATCTATTGAGCCTTGGGCAGCAGATCAGTACCCATCCCAAGTATACACACGGACTTTGGACTCCCATAGAACAATGTGAGGTGCACTCTCACCCTGAACTCTTGGGGAAGGGTCTAGGCCCTGCCCTATATGAAATGACAGACTATGGACACCCCCATGGAGGGCCTCACCCTCCCTGGGGGAATGAGGGGATAATGGGGGGTGGGGGGAGGGCATGGGAGGAAGTGAGGGAATGGGAGAGGGACCTGGAACTGACTTGTGAAGCTACCTAGTTTCTTATCTAAATTTAAACTGGAAAATTAAAAAAAAAAGATTTTATTTTATGTGCGTCTCGACACTAACGAGCACAGAAGACGTAAGCAAGAAATGACAGTCACACTCTGTGAATTTGGTATTAAGTACTACAAAAACAAATTTAGCAAGGTGGGGATGGTTTCTGATTCTCCTTTTCTGTGATACCACCCATGTTCTGACAGGCTAGGGCCCTGAACCGTGGGCAAAAAAACCACTTCCTTATGTTGCTTTTTTTTTTTTTTTTTTTTTTTGGTTTTTCGAGACAGGGTTTCTCTGTGTCTTTAGAGGCTGTCCTGGAACTCGCTCTGTAGACCAGGCTGGCCTCAAACTCACAGAGATCCGCCTGCCCCTGCCTCCCGAGTGCTGGGATTAAAGGTGTGCGCCACCAACACCCGGCTCCTTATGTTGCTTTTGTCAAGGTATTTTATCACAGAAACAGAGAAAAGACACAAAGACAAAACTATACTGTTTCACACATTCTGGGTCTTCAGGCTGCCTATACTCTGCCCGACAAAGCTACAAATTCAGCATTAATAACAAGCCGGGAGGGCTCAGAGCTCTGGAAAACGCCTTACATGTGCCCATGTATCTCTTGTAAAGAATAAAACTTAGGAGCATAGCCTTGCTTTAAAAAAAAAAGAGCTGGATACTGTGGCACACACCTAGAATCCCAACTTTGCTGAGGCAGAAGGGTTATGAATCCCAGGCAAACTTGGGTGACACAGCAAGACCTCCTCTTGAGTAAAAAAAAAAAAACAGGCTGGAAAGAAAAGTGAGCAGTTAAGAGGACCCACTGGGGCTTACAACTGCCTACCCCTCCTGCTTCAGGAGATCCAATGCTCTCCTCTGTCTCTGAGCACCAGGATGTATACAGATACATACATACATACATACATACATACATGCAGGCAAAACGTTCACGCACATAAAATCTTAAAGCCCAGTAAAATTTTTTTTATGATTTATTTATTGTGTATACAGTATTTTGTCTGCATGTACGCCTGCAGGCCAGCAGAGGGCACCAGATCTCGTTACAGATGGTTGTGAGCCACCATGTGGTAGCTGGGAATTGAACTCAGGACCTCTGGAAGAGCAGCCAGTGCTCTTAACCTCTGAGCCCTCTCTCCAGCCCCCAGTAAATGTTTTTAAATTACTACCATGAGAAGGGCGTAACTCAGCGGTAGCGTGTGTGCTTTGCTCCATGGCACGTACGCACACACACACGCACACACACACACGCGCGCACACACACACGTGCACACACGCACACACGCACACACACGCGCACAACGCACGCACACACACGCACACGCGTGCGCACACACGTGCGCACACACACGCACACACGCGCACGCGCGCACACACACACGCACACACGCGCGCGCGCACGCACACACACGCACGCACACACGCACACACACGCACACGTGCGCGCACACGCGCACACACGCGCGCGCACACACACGCACGCACACACACGCACGCACGCACACACACGCACACACGCACACACACACGCACGCACACACGCACGCACACACACAGGCACACACGCGCGCGCGCGCACACACACACGCGCGCGCACACACACGCACGCACACACACGCACACACACACACACGCACGCACACGCACGCACACACACACACACCACAAAACTAAATAAGCGTGAGAGGGAAATGTTTCACGGGCTGGGGAGATGGCTCGGTTTACAAAGCACCTGCTGCATACCTTGAGGACCTCCCTGTGGAGTCTTAGTTCCCACGGGAGAGTACGGTTTGGCCGGGTGTGCCTGTAACCCCAGAGTTAGGGAGAGAAAGAGCCAGGTGTATCCCTGGGGCTTCCTAACATCGCAGCCGGTCTAGCGCAATCCCTGAGGTCTAGGTTTAGTGACAAGGAAACTGTCGCAAAACGTAACATGGAGAGACTGAAGAAGACGCCCAACACTGAGCCTTGGCGTTCACACATGCATACATATGTATGCACACCCACATACAATGTGCACACACGTGTACACACATACATACACAAGAAACGTTTGTACAGGAATCAGGGTTCTCTGGAGGGGCTGAGCGTATAGAATGGGTACGTACTAAAAGTATTATTGGACTGACTTGCATGATGCGGTCTGGGTAGTTCAGTAGCCGTCCGTTCAACAAAGCTGGGTGTCTCTGCAGTCACAACCTGGTCCTGAAGTCCCGCGGGGTCCCTGCAGTTCTGGGGGGCGTCTTTCGCTCTGTGTTAGAAGCTTGAAGAGGCTGGGTCCAGGTGTCAGTGAAGGAGTCCTGGCAGCGGCCACAGCGGCTGCAACCTAAGTTCAACAACGGTAAGAGGAGAGGAAAGTGGGGCGAAAAGCGAAGCCTTTTATCTGGGTCACCACTGGGAGGGGCCTCCCACACTTAGCGTGAGCACTTCCCACCTCCAACATCTCCCGGAAGTGACCAGGGCTATCTCACAGCTGATTTTTGAGCTGGTGAAACTGACACACAAGACTAGCCTTCACAATTTCCCTCCGTTTAAAATGAATGAAAAATGATGGGGTGAAGAAATCAGAAACAGTGAAATATTTAGCCAGTGCCTTTTTTTCCCCTTTAAGCGCTGGGGATTGTACCTAGGGTCTCACACTAACCAAGTAAGTGTTCTTCTCCTGAGATATCTAACCCCCAGCCCTGAGAGTTGAATTTTCAATGTTCTAGTTCAATAATCGTTCCACATTTATCCCATTCATTGATTTGGAAAAACACACTTCTTCATAGTAACATCCCAGAAGTCTGGATCAACAACAGATGTTGTCTGCTCTTCACGTATCTCATCTGGGTAATGCAACGGTGTCTTGCAATTGATGGCATCACGGACCCAATGAGGTAGTCTTGCCCTATAGGAATGCTACAGCCAGCATGTTAGGGCTGACTAGGGACAGTCTTCATACTAAATGCTAGTGAGCTAGGTTTATGATTCCAACAGTTCACAGCGTGAACTTTGACCAAAGCTGTTACTCCCGGGGCCTGGAGAGGCCGTTCTGTGGTTAAGAGCTGCAATCTGGTCCTGCAGAGGGTCTGGGTCCAATTCTTAGCACCCACACCACAGCAGCACACAACTGCGTGTGATTCCAGACCTTGGGGACCCCACATCCTTGTCTGTCCTTTTCAGGGTCCAGGCATACACATACATGCAGGCAGACTCTCAATACTAAATAAAAATAGATAAATCTGTAAAAATATTGTTTCTGAGCCGGGCGATGGTGGCGCACACCTTTAGTCCCAGCACTCAGGAGGCAGAGGCAGGCGGATCTCTGTGAGTTCGAGACCAGCCTGGACTACAGAGTAAGTTTCAGGACAGCCTCCAAAGCAATACAGAGAAACCCTGTCTCGAAAAAAGAACAAAAATAAAATAAAATAAAAACTGTTTCTGTCCCTTGCTTTTTGGGGCAGAGTCATACTGTGTAGCTCAAGCTGACCTCAAACTGACCACGCAGCCTGTGATCCTCCTGTCTCGGCTTCCCAGGTGTTGGGATTATAGGTATTTTCTACCCTGCCAAGCCTGAGACACGGTCATCATTTACACAGTGGCAGGTGTGTCTCTGGGCTTAACAAAGTAGATAGACATCCACTAAACAATAGCGATACGAAGTGAATCCTACAGATCGTTTTAAATTCTCTTAAGTCACATTTTAAAGATTTATTTATTTATTATGTATACAGCGGTCAGAAGAGGGCACCAGATCTCATTACAGATGGTTGTGAGCCATCATCATGTGGTAGCTGGGAATTGAACTCATGACCTTTGGAAGAGCAGCCAGTGCTCTTAACCTCTGAGCCATCTCTCCAGCCCCTAAGTCACATTTTAAAAAGTGAAATTAATCTTTTTTTTTGTTTGTTTGTTTGTTTTTACGAGACAGGGTTTCTCTGTATTGTTTTGGAGGCTGTCAGTCCAGCCTGGCCTCGAACTCACACAGATCCGCCTGCTTCTGCCTCCCGAGTGCTGGGATTAAAGGCGTGCGCCACCACCGCACGGCTGAAATTAATCTTTAAAATGTATTTTAAGTCAGTATATCCACTTCTCTGTGGCCCACCGAGTCGTGTGACCATGGCTCTGGAGCAATCCACTGAGGCCTGGTGGGCTTACCTGCCGTTTGGGCACGCAATTGATGCCAACGACCCCTCCTTTCCCATGCGGGTGTGTCTGTGCCCAGTAGCTCAGTGCCCCCCCGAGTCTCTTCCCAAATGTGACTGATTGTAGACAGGGCCAGCAGTGTGCAAGCCCAGTGCAGACACACGCGGCCGCTGTGCTGAGTTCGAGACTGCAGAGGGCCGGGGGTCCAGAAGCTGATCTCTCAGCCTCCTCCAGCCTCCGTGCCCTCTCCTGTAAGGCGTCCACTAAGCTCCTAAGGGGCCGAGAGTCTGCATTCGCCGTTGTTCGCCGCACAGGAAGGCTGAGCTGGTCAAGGCTGGAGTGGCTTTTGCATATGGGTATAACATAGATATATACAGAAGGCGGCCAACCAACAAACTTTCCATTTGTCAAGCAATTTCGTGTTTCACAAAGACAGCATCTTCCGGGGTTAGCCTGGCCACATTCAAACCCCTCACGTGCCTGTACCTGACATTTCGGGGCCTTTGGAGGAGAGATGAGCTTACAGATTTGTAAGCCCTGTTGCAGCTGCTACGGTTCTGGGGAGTGGGGTGGGGGGCATATCTTATTCTTTGAAGGGGTAAACTGGGCTGGGGAGACAGCTCGGTGGCGGATCGCATGCATGCCTAGTGTTTTCAAAGTTCAAACCCCAGAACCTTAAAAAAAAAAAAAAGGAGGAAAAGGGTAAGATGAAGAGTTTGCACCACACTAACTTACCAGTATACAGTGAAAATTAAGCCTTATTTTTGCAGCTTCAACGATCAGACTCAAGGGCTAGCCCACACTAAACATTTTTTTTTTTACATCTTTCCATAGCAATATATGTGGCGCTTTTTGCTCTTTTTTTGGGTAACTGGGTAACAGATGTACTGATTTCTCTTTTTTTTTTCCAGGGAATCTAGCCCGGGATGGCCTCCAAGTGCCAACACGGCTGGGAATTTGCACTGCAGACGCTCCTGCCTCCGCTGCCCCAGCGCGGGGACCCCAGGTCTGCACCGGGGGTGGAGGTGGGGGGGACACCGAGCCCAGGGCTCGCAGGGCTCCGGCAAAGCCTCAATGCTAGCCGCGGGGTCCTTCAGGCAGGAGCCTGGCCGGCTACATCGTGACCGCGGAGTCCTTCAGGCAGGAGCGCGACCGGCTAAATCCCGACGGCGGCGGGGTCCTTCGGGCTGGGCAGGGCGTGGGCGAGCCGGAGGCGGGCGGGCGCGTGTGCGCAGGCGCGCGGGCCCTGACTCTCCGTGCTCGGGCCAGCCTCAGTCTTTCTGCGAGCGGACATGGTGAGAGCCGGGTGGCGGCGGCGCGGGGGAGCTGGGGCTGGCGGGCGGCCCTGCGGGCAAGGCTTGCACTCTCCTAGGATCCGGTGGCGAGGCTCCCACTCCTTCTAGAGCCCATGGCGAGGCTCGCACTCTCCTAGGGCCCCATGGCCTGGAGCTCCCAGCCATGCTCCTGCCGCGGCCTCCGGAGGCCGCCCTGGGAAGGTTCCTGCAGCGATTGCTCAGCGTTTTTCGAGGCTTCTCGCTTTAAACCGCTTTTCCTCGGGAGGAGCCTCCCGGTGGGCGAGCCTGGTGGTTTTATTAACCATCCAGGTTACGGGTAATTTGGAGGTTGGGGGTTTTTTTTTTTTGAAATAATGATTTGGATCATACAGATGTCGGGAAATCATTAAGGACACTGTTCCAACGTTGTCCGTTTTTCCTGGGGGTGGACGAGAGCCGGCCTTGGGCCCGCACCTTTAACCCCATCACGGCGGAGGCAGAAGCAGGCGCGAAATCTCTTGATTTCGAAAACTGCGTGGTCCACACAGGGAGCTCTCAGACCAGGCCAGGGCTTCGTAGCAGAGACCGTGAACCAGAGATGCGTTTTGGTGATGGGTTTGACCCACAGGGAGATAGACTGCATATCCGGCGGCGGGAGTTAACGTTTGAGCACCGTAGGAGGAGCTGCTCTGTCGGAGCAGCGTGTCTGGCTGGTAGACACCATGCTATGGCGGGCCCCAAACCGGTCATCTCAGGTCAATGATGAGCCGGCATGTATTCTGAATCCGAAGTTGATTATTAACCACTTTAGCTCTAGAATTACTCTGAGACCTGGAAGATGGCCGGTTACATGGTTGAGTCTGGCGTGTCAAGGGCGACCGTGTACGTAAGTAACGATGAAATCTGCTTTTTCTTTTTATAACTGCAAGGGCACACCGCAGAAGGATGTTACCATCAAGTCCGATGCACCCGACACCCTGTTGCTGGAGAAGCACGCCGATTACATTGCCTCCTATGGCTCCAAGAAAGACGACTATGTGCGTATTGACGGGGTGTTGGGGAAAGTTTCTGAGCATGGCAGGCGAAGGTTGACGTTTGAGGCCTTTCTGAAGTGGGTTAGGGATTTGCAGGCAGGAGGGGGGACCTCCGGCTGGGGTACAACCTTTAATAAGGTCGATGATGTGTTGGCATGTATTATCTGACTTTTGCTGATGTGTAATAACACTTTAGCTCTAGAATTACGCTGAGACCTTAGAAAGGTTTGCCTGCGCAGAATACGGTTGTGTGCCTGGGGAAAGGCTGGCAGGAGAGGTTGGGGACATTACCCCGCCCCTGTGATCTCAGCACCAGGGGGCTGAATGAGGGGGGGAAGCCCGTGTTAAATGGAGCGACCTCTCCAAAAGGGCTTGCATAACATTTTCCTTGCAGTTGTTTATCTGGGTCTTATCGAACAGGTGTTGTTAGTAAGCACTTGGTTCTTGGGTTGCTTCTATTATAATTTTAGGCCCTCGTTTTAGGGGGATTATAGGCCTAAATTTCCTGTGGACTTGTGTGAACTGTCCACATACCCTTTTAAGCCCTGGGTTTGGCTTTGCAGATGCCACGGAGGCTCACCCAAACGAACGCTTGTAAAAATGCTTTGTTAGCGCAACAGAAGGTTCTGGGGTCCATGTAGGTTCCATGTTTAGCAGTGGTTTTTTTTTTTTTTTTGGTTTTTCGAGACAGGGTTTCTCTGTGGCTTTGGAGGCTGTCCTGGAACTAGCTCTGTAGACCAGGCTGGTCTCGAACTCACAGAGATCCGCCTGCCTCTGTCTCCCGAGTGCTGGGATTAAAGGCATGCGCCACCAACGCCCGACGCCATGTTTAGCTGTGTTTTATCTTTCCATATTCCTAGACTTCGTTTGTAAGTTCACAAAAATTGGTGTCTGGTAGACAGGAAGTTTACTTTTTCTTTATCTGCCTGCGGTTGGCACTTGGGAGGCTCTTAAAGCCTCATTTAACGTTGGTCCCAGCTATCTTTCTTTTTTTTTTTTTTGGTTTTACGAGACAGGGTTGCTCTGTATTTTGGAGGCTGTCGGTCCAGCCCGGCCTCGAACTCACAGAGATGGTCCCAGCTGTGTTAAATGAGGTGGGTTGTATGTGGGACAGACTTTTCAGATTGACAGACTTAGGAAACTTCCCCTAGGAGTACTGCATGTCTGAATACTTGAGAATGAGCGGCATCTACTGGGGCTTGACGGTGATGGACCTCATGGGGCAGCTTCATCGAATGAACAAGGAGGAGATCCTGGCGTTCATCAAGTCGTGCCAGCACGAGTGTGGGGGGATGAGTGCTAGCATCGGGCACGACCCGCATCTTCTCTACACTCTGAGTGCCGTCCAGGTAGGCGCTGGGGGCCAGGGCTTGGGTGGGGGTTGTAATTTACGGGGAGGATGGTGGAGTCTGTATGGTCAGAATTCACCGCTGTCCTTTTAAGGGGAGTCCTTCCTACAAGGTCAGTGATGTCCTGGCATGTATTAGCTGAATGCTAACGTGATGCACATTCTCAAGTGATGCTGAGACCTTGGAGGGTAATTTTCTTCTGTACAGAGCTGAAACTGGTTACCACTGAAACTTGGTTTCAGTGAGGAGCAGAGGATGGTTAGACCTGTATGCTTGAGTTTAAGATTATCTGGTTTGCGTAGTAAAACTAAGGGTTTGGAATGGCTGATGTTAACTCGGGGATGGAAGAAGTTTACAGTGAACGTGGGAGGCCTCAGTTGGTGGCCAGATAGATACACAAGGGATCTGTGACCTTGTCCTTTCAGATTCTCACTCTGTACGACAGTATCGACGTCATCGACGTGGATAAAGTGGTGGCCTATGTTCAGAGTCTACAGAAAGAGGATGGTTCCTTTGCTGGAGACATTTGGGGTAAGACTGGTTTTAGTGGGCTGTTCCATACTCAGAACCTCTTTACCTTGGTAGTAATCTTACGATTTCAAGTGTTCCGTCTTTTCAGGTCCCACTAAGCAGCTGGTCTAACTGGAATAAGTGGCCTGCTGGAAGTCCCAGCATGCCCCCGTGCTGGTTTTAGCACACCACACTCTAAAAGATAAGGTAGGTTCAAGTTTTATCCCCAGTATTTGGTAGCTAAACTCCCTGAAAAGAGGAAGTCTTTAACTTGAAAGGTTTATCAAATCACCAGAGTTGGGAGATAATGAAAATTCATTTAAATATTGTAGATAATTTGTCGTGGGGTGGAACAAAATGCAGGCCTGAGACCAGCTGCTTTGTGGGATGTGAACCTCTTAAGGAGGTAGGGTGTTAACTTTATTAACTTGAATTTATTGGCATAATAGTCCTTGCATTCTGTAGGTTCCTTTCCTCTTGGGGCCCTCTAAGCTACTTAAAAAGGCTGTTGGCATTAGCTGGTTTCCTTAGGTAGGGGGATTGCCTACAGGTAAATATAAGTTAGCCTGCTTTGGGAAATTGAATGAAATTGTTGGTGGAAAACTTGTAGCATCTACATGTGACTACCTTGGCTCTTTTTGTCTTTTAGGAGAAATTGATACCAGGTTCTCATTTTGTGCCGTGGCAACTTTGGCTCTCTTGGTAAGCTTTAAATTTATTGAGGGACCTAACTAGGCATTGTCAGTGCTCTGGGTATTTATAATAGGTTTCATTTCTTTTTGTAGGGCAAGCTTGATGCTATTAATGTGGAAAAGGCAATTGAATTCGTTTTGTCCTGTATGAACTTTGATGGTGGATTTGGGTGCAGACCAGGCTCCGAATCTCATGCCGGGCAGGTAATAAGTTTGTCTTGTAAATGGCCGCACCTTGTTAGACGAAGAAAGTTTGGGGTGTGTGGTGTACACACAGCATCCGGACTTGCAGGCATGAGCCCCCACGTGACTGTAACAGTAATCATACAACGAAAGCATTCTAACTAATCCAATGCATCTGGGTTAGTGCACCATTTGCTTGTCCAGAGCATTTTCTATACAGCATTTCACTGAGACATGGACTTTGTAGTAATACACCCTGATACAGGATGGGCTCTTTAATAGTTTTGGTAGTGTTTGTCACTGACTACAAAATTATACCTGTGTACTTTATGTCTGTAATTTTAGATCTATTGTTGCACAGGATTCCTGGCCATAACTAGTCAGTTGCATCAAGTGAACTCTGACTTGCTTGGTTGGTGGCTTTGTGAACGCCAGTTGCCCTCAGGCGGGCTCAATGGAAGACCTGAGAAGGTATTGTAATGGCTCTCGGTTACAACCTTGACTGGGTGGTGCTGTGTGCTTTAAGGAGAGTGGCTGGCCGTGTAAAATAGAACTTGGAATGTACAGCTACTGACTGACTTGGCATATTTTCTACCATGGTGTGCTCAAGTGCTGCTGGGTTGGGCTCAGCATTTAATTGAATCACACCGCCTGGGAGGCACAAGATTTTTTTTTTTGGTTTTTCGAGACAGGGTTTCTCTGTGGCTTTGGAGGCTGTCCTGGAACTCACTTTGTAGACCAGGCTGGCCTCGAACTCAGATCCGTCTGCCTCTGCCTCCCAAGTGCTGGGATTAAAGGCGTGCACCACTAACGCCCGGCCATGAGAAGGATTCTTTTGCAGAGCATTTGTTCTTGTAGCCATGTAATGTGTTTGCTGTGGGAAATGCTATACAGGAGTGAAAGAATGGCATTCACATTTATTAGCAGAATTTACCTGTGGTTAGTTTTTGTGAGGGACAGAATAATCTGGTCATTTCATGTGGTGGGTAGAGGTACTTCCACAGCTAGTATCTGAGCGGGGTTAGTATCTGAACAGGAGTTAGGCTATCTTGTGCCTGTTAGTAAGATGCAGATTGCTCCAGCTCTAGGATCTGCAGGGTGAATTCTCAGATGTGTCTGTCTACCTGGACAGCACTCGTTGACAGTGGTCTGCCTGGAAAACCCTGTCTTGGCTTTCATGAGTCTACATTAATATCCTCAGCTGAAAACTTGAGTAAGATTAAAGTTGATTGTATTGGCCACCTAGCCTGAGGTGTGAGTTCCAGTACGTGGGAAGTGGTCTCCCCTTGCCCGGTGTTCTTTCCTGGGTTTTCATCGTAGTTCTTTACGTGCCTAAGTGGACCTAAAATGGAGCAAATGCTGCCCCCTTGTTCATTTCCCTGCTGTTTCTCCCTCAGCTACCCGATGTGTGCTACTCCTGGTGGGTTTTGGCCTCGCTGAAGATAATTGGGAGGCTCCACTGGATTGACAGGGAGAAGCTGCGCGGCTTCATCCTAGCATGCCAAGATGAGGAGACTGGAGGCTTTGCGGACAGACCAGGAGATATGGCAAGTACCATTCTGGGCCTTTGCAGTTTTTCATTCTTGGCGTATTTTTATGGTTCATGTATAATAGTCCCAAGGTTGCTTTGAGAGCTTTTGTAAACGTGTAACATGAAGGCTGGAGCGTGTGGAGATGTCTTACAATAATGCTGTTCTTAAGACCCTGCATGTTAATACTGGAGTCTTTCAGAAAACTTTGAGAGCTGTTATACAAAAATGGGTAAACTTCATGTTTTTGTAAACTTCCCACAGGTGGATCCTTTTCATACCTTATTTGGCATTGCTGGATTGTCGCTTCTGGGAGAAGAACAGATTAAACCTGTTAGTCCTGTCTTTTGCATGCCGGAAGAAGTGCTTCAGAGGGTGAATGTGCAGCCTGAGCTGGTGAGCTAGAGTCAGATAGGAGGGATGTGAGTGCAATCCGAACACTGCTGTATTTGAAGTGTTTACCAAACCTAGAGGTGACTGTTAATATTTTGTATATCATGTTAATGATAAATTATATAATTAAATGTATTGTAAAATAAGTATGTTGTAGTGTTCTAAGTAGTTTTTGTCTCTACTTGAAGTTTGTTTCTGATGTCTCCATAACAGCAAACTTAAAAAGTGCTAGTATTTAATTTGTGTACTCTTGACCTGTAACCATTGTGATGGAAAATGATTTTTGTTAATCGATAAAAATGAGTAAAACTCATTTAAATAAAAGATTATGAAATTGAGTGGTTGTGTGTGTGGTTGTTTAGGGCTCATGTATATAACCTTTTGGAGATGGAAGATTACCAAAGGACGATTTTCAGGACTGTCATAAACAACTGAGGGGGTGCATAACTCCAGTCTCTGTATTGGTTTGCACTTTATAGGCAGCTGTCTTGAGTCACCTAGGATCTCTATAGGCCCCTCACTCCCTCCCCCCCAGGGTTTTTCTGTAACAGCTCAGCCTGTTTTAGAACTAGTTCTTGTAGACCAGGCTGGCCTCAAACTGAGTGCTGGGACTAAAGATGTGCCCCACCCAGTAAGGATCCCTTAATGAATTGTTTTAGGTTAGGTGGAAGTGTTTTTTGGGTCTGTTGGGCCCCTGTCTGAGTTAAGTCTCTGGAGAGATCATATTGGCTTTGACTATGATTAATGTGGATTGTTCACAGATGTGGTGAACTGTTGGTATAAATTTGGGCCTAGTACATACCTGTTTCCTTTTCTTGAACCTCTGCCCATTTACCTGCAAAAGGGAAGGAACAGCTCCTAACCCTGAAACAGTCCCACTTTGCACTAGATTCCACAATATCACCCAAGTGCTAGGATTTCGCTGAAACTCAACGGGTTAATGAGCACGTGTGTCTTCCAGTGTTGTGTCACAGACCATAAAGCTACACATACTGGTATGTATGGCTCATTTCTATTACTGTGAAAACACCGGCCACATCAACTCAAAGCTTTTAAGTGGGGCTTGATTTCAAAGGTATAGTCCATTGGCAAGGTGGCCCACAGGCAGACACGTTACTGGAGAGGTAGCTGAGTTCTGACATCCAGATTGCAAGAGGGGGAAACTGGGTTGGGCATTTGAAACTCCAGTCTAACCCCAGTGACCCTTCCAAGGCCACACCTATGCCAGCAAGCAGTGTCCTGCCCTGCAGCATGCAAGGCATTCAAATAGAAGAGGCCAGGCCGTGGGCGTTCTTACTCAAGCCACTACACTGCGTGCGTCTTATTAACTGGAGAACATTCACTCTCAGCTCTGCCACCTGGAAGCTGGCAGGGACGAAGTTTTTGTTGCAAAGGTGAAGTGCAAAGCTGTGCTGTGTAAAACTGCAACACTAGAAACGGACACGACCGGGTAGGTCGGCAGCAGCAGCTGGCTTTGCTATGCAGGTGATCGCACCGGGCGCTGTCGCCGGCCGACACCTCGGTGTGCACAGCACACCTCCCTTCTTGGACACCCGGGACTGCGCGCCCGGTGATGGATGCACCGAGCCTCGGGGCTAAGAGTCGCGGTGCCACCGTGGGGGCGCGCGTCCAGTTCGGTGCTCGGCTGGTGCAGATTATTCAGAAAACTGGGGTGGGCCTTGAGTCCTCGAGGAATCTCACTTGCCCACAGCCGATTTCTTGCACCAGCAGCCCGGCCAGGACCACCGGGGACTCCCCCGCGCCTGCGCAGTGCACCCTCCCCGTGCTCCCGAGCGCACTGCGCCTGCGCCGCTTCTCCCGCCTTTTCCCGGCGCGGCGGAGCCTCGGGCGTTCTTCGCGCGGTTCCTCGGGCGTCGGTCGGGACGGCGGGAGGATGCTGAGGCAGGGGGACTCCTCGACCTCGCCCTCCCCGCGCGGGACGCCATCCCGGACGACGACGACCCCGCGCGCACGGCCCTCGGCCTCCGCGTCCCGGCCCAGCACGGAGGGCGCCGCGGCCGACAGGAGCAGCAGCCCCAGCCCCGTGCGGCCCGCCACAGGCAAGGCCTCGGGGTCGCGCCGGGGCCTCGGGCACGGGGCTGGAAACCATCTGGGTGCCTCACGGGCTAAGGGCACGGCGGGCTGCGCCTTCAGAGGCCCAGTGCCCAATTCCCGGCCTCGCCACGACGTGTCCGGAGCTCTGACGCCAGAGGAGCTGAAGCCGCCTCTGTGGTGCGCAGGCCGACATGCCAGCCAAACACCCTCGTGTTTAAAGGGGAGGAAAAGTCCCGCTGGGTGAAAGAGGGAGGACGGCTTGGCCGGGTTTTATGAATGCAGGAATACTTTGAAGCCTTCCATGTTATTTATTTTTATTCTTTTTTTTGAAAACTATTATTTATTAATAGTTAGAAACAAGCTTGCTTCACAGGTCAGTCCCAGCTCCCTCTCCCTCCCCTCCTCCCCAGCCTCCCCAGCCTCCCCACCAGGCCCTCCAGCCTCCCACCCAATCCCCACTCCCTTCCTCATAGGGGGTCTCCAGGGCCTGTCATTTCCTTCAGGACAAGGCCTAGGAATCCAAGAATCCAGAAGCCTTCCATGGTTGCGGTTAGGCTGAGAGTGGTTAGGAGACATGATTCCATAAACCACGAGCAAGGATGAACTGTCTGTCTGACAGTTCTGAAATGGGGGCCTGGAACAGAGCTGAGCCACAAAGACGCATCCGTTTATTTTGCGTGTGTCTGTGTGCCTGGTGTTGGAATGTCTGGGGGCTTGTGCGTGTGAGCATCATGCGTGGCCCAGGTTGATGTTAGGAGCCCTCCTCTGTCATTTTCCACCTTACTCACCGAGGTCAGGCTTCTCAGTCCATCCCAGAGTTTATCAGGGTGGCTAATCTGGCCAGCCATCTTGCTTCTGGAACCCTGTCTTCGTCCTCCGAGAACTAGAATCACAATGGGTGGGTCACATTGCCATTGGGCATCTGTGCACCCTGGGAGTCAGAACTCTGCTCCCCTGTTGTGGTTTGCCCTCGGAGACATCTTCCCAGCCCCCAAAAACTTTTTTTAAAGGAAAATGATTTATTTGGGTACGGTGGGGCGTGCCTGTAATCTCCTTGTTTTCTATTTAAGAGGCCAAGGCATGAGGATTTTGAGGATGGCCTGGGCTGCCGATTAAGACCCTGTAAAAAGAGGACTTATTGTACATATTTGTAAATTTTCAAGAGTTCAGTAAAGAGGGTGAATAAAAGTTGAACATGTCTGGTAATAAAGTGAGCACTTCTAGAAAGATAACGTGATCACCCTTTGACATTTGGAAATTCTGGGAAGACATGAAAGTTTTACGTCCAAGAAGTTGTCAGATATGGTGACATTTCTTGGTTTTCACTTTATAGAGTTACCTACTTTTTATGTGTGTGTTATCTGTGTGCAGCCCAGAGACTTGGTCTCAAACTCCCTATGTAGCTCACTTCGGGCCCTTGAAGTTGTGTTCCCTCAGCCTCAGACCCTCAGCACTGAAGTTATAGACATGGGCACTACACCTGGCTGCTGCGTGGTCTGGACGGCATCAGGAATCCCCTCCCATTGCTTTCTATCTCACCCTTTTGAGACAGACTCTCCTTGAATCTGGAAGTCCACTTCATCAGCTAGGCTGGTGTTGGGCAAGCCTTGGGCCCGGATTCTGGGGTCTGAACTCAAGTTCTCATGGCTGTTACAGCAAGTGCTCTTAACCACCGAGCCATACCGCCATTCTCTAACTTTTGAATTTTTCTCTGAGATTGGGTCCTGTATGTAACCCTGGCTGTCCTGGAACTAGCTATGTAGACCAGGCCAACCTCAAAATCACAGAGCTTATTTTGTTTTTGTTTTTTGGGGCTTCTTTTGCTTCTGTAGCCCTGGCTGTCCGGGAACTCAGAGGTTTACCTGCCTCTGCCTCCCAAGTGCTGGGATTAAATTCATTCATTCATTCACTCATTCATTCATTTGAGACAGGGTTTCTCTGTGGAAAAAGTGCTGACTGTCCCGGAACTCACTCTGTAGACCACGCTGTCCATAAACTCACAGAGATCCACCTGCCTCTGCTTCCAGAGTGCTGGGATTAAAGGTGTGTGCCACCACCTCCCAGCAACTTTTGAATTTTTAAAGGATTTAAAAGGTTTTTTTAAAGACAGCGTTATTTTTTGGCATGTGACAATTATGTGAAATTCAAAATTCAATATGTAGACATTATTTTGAAAAAAAAAACACAGTGATGTTTGTTGATTTACGTACTACTACCCTTTTGTAGTCCCAAATTGCATAACTGTGACAATGACCATGTGGTCCACAAAGCTTCAGACATCTGTCATGTTATCACTAGAAATCTTTTTTTTCTTTTGGGGTTTTAGAGTCAGGGTTTCTCTGTGTAGCCCCGTCTGTCCTGGAACTCACTCTCTAGACCAGGCTGGGCACAAACTCACAGAGATCCACCTGCCTCCGCCTCCTGAGTGCTGAGATTAAAGGTGTGCGCCACCACCCACCCTGCTCCGTCACTGGAAATCTTAGCCATGCTGTGTGTACAGTGTAGGAGATGAGTGAAGGCTGTACATGGAAATCTGAAAGTTATCAGGGAATGGATGCCGACAGAAGCCACGAAAGCAGATGAGTTGCCCAGTCGTGAAGTTGTAAAAGTCCGGAACTCTGTAGACCAACACTGAAGACAGGAAGGCAGAGAAGGGGACTTGGTGCAGGAAGCTGTAGGTAGTGTACGGAGAACAAAGGCATGTGGCATAGAAACCACAGCGCGTGGAGGAGCCGTGTTCTCAGTGGCTTGTTGTTGGGAACTTCTGTGTGACCACACACCCGTGCTGGGCTGTTCATGTACACTGTGTGAGATGTCATGTCATGGCTGTTAAGGTTTCGTGTTGGTGAGCAACTGCCTGAAAAAGTACTGAAGCCAAGTGAGCCTAGCGCTGACTGCTCGATAAGGAGGTTAAGACAGGAAAAGACAATTATACTTACTACACTGGTGGCTGAAAGGGACCTTCTGGTTTTAGCAGGCGTAGTCCCGGTGAACTCATGAGTTAATGTTCTTGAAGCAAATCCCAGCCTCAGGCCACTCTGGGCGTGCTCTGCAGGTGACCTCTCACATGCTGAGAGAGCGGGTGTGTGTCCTCACCACATCTGGCTTACGTGGTGCTGGGGTTGGAACTCGGGGCCTCACGCACACCAGGCAAGCACTGTACCCACCGAGCTACACCCCCAGCCCTGTATCAGCACATGTCAGTACGTGGTTACCAAGCCTGGTGTGCTGGCACGTGCCTGTGATTCCAGCACTCAGGAGGCTGGAGCCGGAGGACCTGAAT